TGTGTCCTTAGCCATCCCAATACTTCTACGGATCTGTGTCGCATTTACCGTTCTCTGTCAGAACGCTTCCCAGATATTTAAACTCCTGTATCTGCTTAATTCTAGTGTTTCCGACCTGCAAATCCATATTTTTGTATTTACCTTATCACTATTTTGTGTATTTTTTCTAAGTTATGCTTCATATTTGAAAATATATCTTCCCTTGTCTAATTGATTTAATCGAGTTTATTTTTTTTTTAAATATCGTGTATCGTGTCTTGGCTTTTATTGTATTTCGTATATTCACGTGAATCTCCGTGTCTTCTACATCTGTTTTAATGAAATATATTTAGCATATTAGGTTTGATATAACTCTGTTGATCCTTGGTTACGTGCTTGTTATATTCAGTACCTTGAACAAATGCAATCGCTATTTGTAGTTTATATCGTATAGAACCTTTGTGCTGTTTCTAAGGTTTTGTTTGATTGCCTGTTGTGGATTTGTGTTGGTTGATGATATATCTTTTATTGGAGTTATTGTTACATAAGTGACATGATAAACGGCGTGACACTACTGTAGTAATCAAATTAATGTATATACTTGAATTGTTATTAGAGAAGCAAGTAACGATAATATCAACAAAACTACACCCATTCTCAATTCTACTTTACTAAATATATTTCATTAACAAAAAAACATACAGGATAGGTGTACTCATATGAATACGCGAAAAGCTACAAGAGCAAATGATGATATAACAAACAATATATCTTTGAAAATGGCAAGTGTTAAGTGAAAGTGTTTTGACATGAGGAGATATATTTACAAATATGAAAATGATTAGAAGATACAAAAAAATTAAATAAGGAATAATAATCAACAAGTAATATTCGTTGTTTTTTTTAATCAAAGGTGCACAATCAAATAATTAAAACAGACTTATGACCCTTAAATCGATAGTCATACAAAAAAACGACCATTAATAAATAAAAGGAATAATAGCTTAAGAGCCAATATCCTCAACAATTTTTGTCACAACACTTCTTGCCTGTTTCATAACTCATTCGTTTTACGAAACTCACCAATTTTCTCTACCTACCCAGATGAGGACTTAAAAAAATCGAAATCATAGTTTATATTCCTTGTACTTTTCTTCCAAAAGATAATATGGATAATTTCTCATCAAATTTCCCCATTGTCTGATTCGTAAAAGTCGATCAGTAAAATTAATCGACACAAAATATTTCTCGTTTTCAATAGTATTTGACTTTAAGAACATTTGACGCCTAAATACACAGAATATATATAATAATAATAATAATAATAATAATAATAATAATAATAATAATAATAATCCAGAAACAATTAATC